AATTCAATGAGACTAATTAAAAATAATTTGCGTTCTGTTATGACAAATGCTCATTTAGATAGCCTCATGATGGTTGGAATACATCGATAGGTGAAGCAACCTCGACCATGACAGCGTGGTTGACAGATTTCATGAAAAATTTCTAAAATATTGAATTCCACTTCCAAGAATGAGGATTTGAAAATAAATTAAATGGTTACATCGCACTCTTTGTTTCTTGCTTTATTCAAAATGTTTTGGTTTTGGAAGCTGATTTCAACATTAGAAAGCATAGCCTACATGAAGTCGTATTATAGTAACTCGATGCCTATCAAATAAGTAATAAAAATTCGCCATAATTCATCAAATATCCGTGGCTTCCAGGGGGATTCGCCCCCCGGACCCCACCGGGGGCCCTAGGCGCCCCCCTGGCCCCCAGCCAAGTGAGACTCGATTCGCTCCACTAGTCCCCCACCCCCGTCGGGGCCTTTAGCCCCCTCCGTCGGGCAGGTCCTGGCGCCACCGCTGAGGTCTACGTATGTATACTATCACGTATCATCATGTCCCCTCTTTGGGTCGTACATCTAGGCCTATATATTCGGATCTTCAGACCCGAACGACAACGGATCCGGTACCGGACCTCTAGCTACAGCGAAAAACATGGCGATGCACCATACTGCTGTATTTGTCTTTATTGTTATAATTGGATGTAATTTAGTGTTGTATCCATCTTTGTTTAGTAAATTAATTCGACAATGGTTTGGAGGAGCAGAAATGAAGCCAACTGCACAAGATCCACTAGAAGGTAAGAAGCATGTTGCTTTGTTTGTAGATTCGACTTAGGCCTAGGCGGCCCCTAGTCGAAAAAAATCGCCGACGTGAAAGATTTTAAGCCTAGGCCTAGCCCAAGCTAGTCCAGGCCTACACTGGTACTAGTAGTACCAGTGGTAGTAGACTTTGCAGGATCCCCGTGAACACAATATTAAACTATTCTTAATGAAAGCAAGTTATTTAGTCTTTTATGTTGTATTATGAGTAAAATGTGAAAAATCTAACTGGATTGTGTGTTTCATGCTTTTATATATATTGTGCTCACGTGTATTTTTGATGTCATTTTTTTTTTCTAAACATCACATTCGTGTAAATATTAGGTCATGCCTCCTAAACTCTGCCTGCTAATTGGTTAATTTTTTTGTGGGGTCATGGATGGGCAAACGTGCTTGTCTCTGATGACGTCAGATCATCCAAAGTTGCTAGACGCTACCGTTTATGTCGGCATTTCCGAATGCCGGCGTTAATTTTGAGGGCTGCCAATGTTCAGATAAATGTTAGTATTGTATTTATTTTCAATAAAGCTGATAATAAGGTACAGCACGTATATGTCGTTGGTTTATTTTATGGTATTTTATTTTTGTTACGTATTTTGGTCGCTGTGTATGGATCGCCAAATGTGCGACCATGTATCTACAACATGGTAGGTTAGCAGTATTCCGTTTGCTAAACACGAAACTATGCTACACTATAATTATGTGGTAGTAAAGTGTATTATTATACAGCACTACAGTATGACTTGTTAGTTTTCTTTATCAGAAAAACAATGAAGAAAGTCGATTTGGTTTGATACACGTTTCTATTATCGATATATATTTTGATCATGTTTATTGCTTATTAAATAAAAGATTTATGAAATAAGTGTACTGTAGTACTGTGAAAAGATTAGTTTTGTCATACTGTACGTTTGTTTTCTTCTGTCGTTTCGTTTCCTTTCACCATAAATGTTCTAATGACCAGATTAAAATGATACATAAAAAAAATTATAATAGACTGAATGGGATGATAAATGAAAACAAAAGAAATAGGCATATATAGTATTTTCATATTTATTTTTCCATATCAAATTATTAATAATATGTTTATAATTACATACAGTGTACTGTATATTTTAATGGCCACTCGAGGCTTTTATGGAAATATAGTACATTCCCATGAATATAGATTCCCACGGTACTCTTGATTCGAATCAGACACAAGGTTTTTATACATATTTTGATGTTTATAAAATACACAAATAAATGGAAATACAGTAAACTATAGTTTTAATATAGTGTATGTTAATGGCTGTTTCGGGCTTCTTTTTAACAATCAGGAACAATTCAAGTAGTACTACTGTAGTTGCCTGGAAACTAACTATAACAAAAATCTGAAATCTGTTTTCCACAAACTGGTTCCCATGTAATCTTCAAGGATAGACTGGTATCATATCAAAATACACAAAATATATTGGAAATATATAGTACTACATACTGTACTAAAAACACGCTAAAATTATATTCAAATTATTGTAATTAAAATTTCTCTGAAACAATAGCAATCATAAAAAAACTAAAATAAAATAGTAATCATGCTGAAAAAAAATACAATAAAATATTTATGTATAGTCAAGCATCATAAAAAACCAAAAAAAATAAAATCAATACTATGTCTAAAACGCGCACAATACTGCTTAAAAATACAAAACCGTTCCATACGCTGTTAATCGCGACCAACACGTCTAGGCCTAGGTGATCATGAATTTCTTGATTTAATGCATGCTCAGTAAGGTAATTATGTATTCTAACCCATAAGTTTGGCGTTCATATTTAATATAGTTTAATATGATACTATCATGTAATACAATTTGCAAAATGTATAGGTAAAAACATTCATCAAACTTGGGTACGGGTTAGTGTACGCTGTGTACGGGTTGACCGAAGATGTGTACGGGTACGCCAAAATTCTGTGTACAGGTCGTCTAAAATTTGGGTACGGGTTGTGGATACGGGTTGGCATGGGTACGGGTTGACTTGTATTTATAAGGCTAGGCCTACTGTAGGTCTACTACTACTAGTTACTAGGCTAGGCCTAGCCAGCCTAGGCCCTCTACAGTACCGGCCAGTTGTATTGCAAAAATCCCAACGCGTTTTACCCGTTGTCGTTGCGTTGCGTTTGCGTTGAGTTGCGTTGCGACTGCAAGACAACTTCCATGTACACTTGTTTGATATTGATCTGTCTCTTATACACATCTAGATGTGTATAAGAGACAGGGTACGGGTTGACTTGTATTTATAAGGCTAGGCCTACTGTAGGTCTACTACTACTAGTTACTAGGCTAGGCCTAGCCAGCCTAGGCCCTCTATAGCCTCTAGGCATCTTTTACTAAATTACTTTTGAGTTTTGAGAGGTTTTGATTAGATTAAGTTTTTAAGGTGTTTTTTTTTTTTTTTGAGAATGAATTATCACATCATAAAACTAAGGTTCAATGTACAGTAATTCCTTGCATCTCATTTTCATATTTTCGTACATTGTTATAGGCATACCTAGGTTGTTTTTTTATTGTATCACACATGTGAATGTGAATGTGACTTTGTGAATTAATCAAAATCAATTGCTCCCATTAATTATTTAACTATAATAAAACAGATATCAATACAAATATCTTGCATAAGGTTTTAGTTAAGATTTAGTTTAGTATCTTCTGTTTGTTTTGTTTTGTAACTAGTTGCACAATAATATGATTGGTGCCATTGACTCGAAGTGAATCCAATAAAATTCAAATAAAAATTCAAGAAATGCTGGGTGGCAAAGTGCCGGGTGGCAAAAGGTCGGGTGGAAATGGGCCAGGTGGCAACAGGCCTAGACCCCTGTACATTATCTTTCATGTTGTGAATGTTGTACTGAAAGGAGCCAATATCGTCTTTGAATGAAACAAATACGGTACAAAGAAAAAACTCTAGGCCTACAGTCAAAGCAGCTCTGAGTCTGAGGGGCCTACTAGGCCTAGCCAGTTTCTGTGCCTGTTGATCTCAGTGTAGGCCCCTACACAAAATTGTTTATAATCTGACGTTTTTATCATCTTAAATACCTAGATTGTGGATTTTACTGCAAGACAACTTCCATGTACACTTGTTTGATATTGATTGATCATTCAATAAAACAATCAATCACTATGTTGACTTTTAAAGCTGAAAAATGATGATGAAAAGAAAAGTAAAATTTGTCGCGATGCACATGTGTGAAGCCATGGTATAACCACTGGATTTGAAGAGGCCTGTAAGAGGGCCTTTTTCACTTGAGAATTACATAGTATAGTATGGTGTGTTGTACAGTTGCTAATAACAGTTACAATACAAGCGGGACTTTTTTTTTTCTTTAAGGACTTTTCACATGGGCGAGTGCGGATGAATATCACTCGCCAAATTTTTATTTCACTCGCATCGGCGGGCAGGCGAGCGTTAGTTTTGCACCCTGATAAAGTGTGCTTTTTTCCAATCCCTGTGAGCTACACAGCTCTAACAATGTAGGTATGAAACATTGTATGAATGAACCTTCGTATTCATGTGGTCTGGTCAGTTTGGTTAAGCTTTGCTGCACTCTAGTCCAACCTTCCGCGATGAATGATATGCAAATAAGCTGCACTTAACAGGCTTCCTACATCGGGTTACCACAATTAACGGTGATTAACGCAGGCAAAACATATGTGAGCGATCCCTATGTCTGTCAATATTTAAGAGTCTGTACCTATGAATAGTATTTTTTATTTGGAAATTTATTTTGGCTCAGTGCAATCCTAGTTTAAACACTTCAAATCATGTATCATTTCAATTGATTTTATATTCATATTTATTTCTTACTGCAGATGTCCCTCCACCTATGCGCGGTCGCCCACCATCTTTCCAAGGTCCTGCGAGTGTTAAATACAGGCAAAGTAAGTTTTAAGCTTTATTTTTAACATTTGAATCAGCAAATGACTGCTGAATGTGTCTGTAGCTATGATTACTGTACTGCATGTGTAATACTACAGTGGCAAGTTAATTTGCTAAGGAATTCATCTTCAGTTATAAAAAGGTGTTATTTAAATTTTATTAAACATGTGCCACTTTAATTTAAGTAGAGTATCCCAGAGAAAATTCAAATTGATTATTTTGAATTTTTTTATATACAGTACAGATAAAGATTGCTGCACCTTTTCCATTGATAGTCTTCGTAGGCTAGGCGTAGGATTCTTAGTCTACAGTACATGTAGTAAATGTGTAGCATTAGTTTAGCGTAGACAAAATCTAGGGTTTGCACACGTTTGAATGTACTGTAATATGAAAGTAATTATTTAAACTACCCAAACCATTGCTTGAATGTCGTAGACAATGTAGGAATCCTAGTATAGGACAGCACTGTAATGAGTATAATTAGGGCCTACTGTACAATAATGCCTAGGCCAGCAAGCCTAGCTAATTAATTGGGCTATAGTCTGGGCCTAAATCTAGATGATTTTTGGAATCTTGAATTTTTTTTGAGTTGTGACTGGTGTATAGCCTAGGCCCCACCCCAAATTTCAGGGTTGAAATCGCTTATAAAATTGAGGGCTAATACACCGGAATGTGGTAGGTCCTAGCTTTAGTTTAATTTAAGAAACTTTGGCTATGGACGTTTCAATATACTACAACTTTTGGCATTGTTTTGTTGTTTTGTTTTGTTTAATTGCTCTCCTGAAAGCTTGTCAAGGAGCGCGGTGCGCTCGCGCTCTTGAAAAATGATGGCTTGAATTTGCTATCATTTTATTGTTCTTTGATAATAAAATTTAACACACAACTTAAAATTGAAATTCCAACAAAATAAACGCTGTAAATTTGAGTTATAATTTTTCTTTTTTTTCTTCTTAGGTACGCAGGGGGACAAAATTGTTGCTATGTTCAAGTAGATGATTTTTATGTTACATCAAAAATTGATTTTTATGATATATCTTGGTATTTTTTATGAGACAATAAAACTGTAGACAAATTGTAATTTCAATACTGTATTTCTCTGAACCAATATGTTGCCTTCCTTCTTTTTCCAGCCAATGCACTACAATTGTATATTATCATTTAATTTAGTGAATTTTTTCAGGTTCTATGCCAGATCGTAGTGCATTTCCAAGCTCTACCAAAACACAGGAACCGGGATTTAAAGGTATAATGGGCTCAGTATTACCTGTGTATGCTGTTGGTATTATGATCTATTTCATGTTTGTCATTTATAAGGTAGGATGTTGCAATTATTTTCATGATAAATGATTTCCTCATTCATGTTTTTTTCACACAGTAAATAATCAAAAACTAATTATTAGATATCCCAATAAAAAAAGTCTAATATTATTTTGAATTTTAAAAATATTACATCTACAGAACTCATTGCACTGATAATTTTCAGGTTTAAATCATTAAAATATAACACACTGTTCAAAAGTATTGATAGAAAGATGGTAGGAAAGTGGGTCCAATTGAGAAGAAAGGTCTTTTTTCAAGATTGAATTTGGAGCAATATATTTTTACAAATCCCAAAAATCTTAGAGTTTTGTCTATTTTTTTCTGGGTCATTGTTTAATGTCATTTTTGAAAGAATGGTTCCAAAGTCTGGTCCCTTGGTATTTTGTACTGATTTTTGGCTTGTGTCTCAACGCAAATTCAAACTATTTCAACAGCTTTTGAAAATGTTATTCAAAAATGCATGTACTCCTATAGTAAATTTAAGAAAGTAGAATTAAATGTCTGATTCTAATTGTTGTCTACATAAATAATATTTTAACCAAAATTCGACAGAGTTTAACAATTAACATGTGTGTGTTTATTGTCATCCTACATGACGTGTTGACCAAGATAGTGAAAAGATGCATCAGTATTGTATCAGTTCTCTGAATCTAGATCGTAATCTTGAGGGTACTGTGTACATTGACATTACTTAATGTATCATACTGTTATATACTCTACTTGTCCTTTTTTCATTAGATTTGACTGTACATTTTACGTTGTATTGTTTCACTTCCATCATCATAAAAGAGTTTTAATGATTTTTAAATATATATTTTAATATACAGATTCAGTGTGTTAACACTATCCAACAGTATTTTTTGTATATAACAAAAAAAATTGCAAAATTTTGAAATGTTATTAGTGATTTTCTGTTGAATTATTCTTCTTCTTCTTTTTTTTTTTTTTTTAATTTATTTTTCAAGGGAGAGGTAGTACCATATTTACAACAGTTTTTTATTTACCTTTCTACACTTCCATCTGCATGTGGCTCATCATACTGGCTTCTGTACTGCCAATAAGCAATTCAAATTGTTGCACATTTCAGAATTGAAAGTTCAAACCATGGGTGTGATGTGATGCATCCAGCATGTGATTGGTCTTTTTTTTTTCATGAATTTTTGCAACCTGTGAACAAATCAGTTGCCAAACTACTTGGGAGACTGATGTATTGAGTATAGCAAAGAGTAACTTCTGATGTTTTGGATAACACACTTACATAGTTACCAAGTGTCTAGCATCATGCGGAACGGTCCCCCATTACAAAGTGATTTTGGATGAAACACGCATTTTGCAGAAACACATGCGTGATCAATAAATTTGTATGTATTTAGCGCAAGTCTAAGTGTGATAACAAATTATCACAAATTCAGGGGAAAATAAATTTAAAATTAGAAAAAACTGGTGTTAATAGAAATATAAAAGTGGTCATGCAGTAACTCAAATTGCATGGCTTTATTAGAAATATTCTTGTTTATGTACAGTACCCGGTAATTGTCAGTAGTCCAGTTCCTAAGCCTACAAAAAATGGGGGGGGGGGGGAAAGTTGGGTGTTACACTAGTGGATACAAATTTGCCCTTTTGCATGGTGATAGGGCATGATGTTGGGATACCAAAACCAAGTTAATGGAAATCTGATTTGACCTTTGTGACCTTTAACCTCAATTTTATTATTTTTATTGAAAAAAACATGAAATTGCCATATCTCTGTAACTCTTCGGTCTATTGAGTTAATTTTCATGACAAATCGCTCAGAACACATTTATATTTGCTCTAATACAACTTTTTGTATGAAACCCACTGCTTAATGTGATTTTTCATAAAAATCATGTTTTTGGGCAAAAATATAAAATTGTGATATCTCTGCAATGCTTAGGTCTATTTAAATCATTTTGGTGTCAAATTGTTCAGAAGACATATATTTATACTTGCAGTCTAATACAACTAATACTGAGAAATTCCTAAAAATCATGTTTTTGGGCAAATATACTGTAGAAACCATATTTCTGAAAAATACAGTTCATTATTAGGACTTGACATATGTTTATTGAGATGTTACAGTAGTGACCGTTGGCATAGTGGTAGAACACATTGTACAAAATCCAAGCTAACTGGAAATCAGATTTGACCTACAGTACAGACGGAAACTATCGCTTCATGTCTGCGCGTAACCTATCGTAATCTGCTTGTAGGTACGAACCACTACGAAGGTCATTGTTATTTTAATTAGCTTTGCAATGATCGTAGGCTGGATCGTCGGGCTGATAAACAATGCGTATACAATATTGAAATATATTTTACCAGCTTTCAACACGTGAGCAATGTTGCAATTTACTAATAAACAATGTTAGAACTTTATTGTTTTGTTATTTCCTACCTTATTATTAGATCGATCATGTAAAACTGTGTTGAGTTTGCTAGCTAGGTATCCTAGTGGGCCTTCAGTATGTTCGAATTTCAAAGTCATTTAGGCCTACGGCCTACATTTTCTCCTATAGAGGAGGAGATCAGACAGTAATTATACTGGTATAACTTTCCAATTCTGAGAATTTTGATCTGATATTATTGTTCTGGTAGTAGGAATTTTCTTCTTTTATTAATAATACTGATGACAAATCATATACAAATTATTACGATTTCTACAGATCACGTTGTTTATTGTTTACCGAAATTTGAAGGAGAACCTAAAAAGCGATTCAATACTAATGGAACTATGTTGCTGAAAGTTTCAACAAACTTAGTTTATGATTACAGAAGCTACGTTTTCCTTTGCGAAAGAAAGCCGGGTTGTAATCATCTGTAATATCGATGTCTCTAGAAAGGAATGGATGATTGCTATGCCCTCGTTAATATGTTAAAGCATGCTTTGCATGCAGGAAGACTTTTGTGTTGGTTTCTTCTTGGTGGTACTAGGCCAGATTGTAGAACCCCAAGTTGCTGACTGTCAATTTATCAAATTCACTTTGCCAAAACACAGTTTGCCGAATGCCACTTTGCTGAATCAGAAACTAAGAATCCCAGTTTGTTGAAACCCAGTTTGCGCTGAAACCCACTTTGTTGAAAATAAACTAAAAGCAGTAAAGCATAAACCGTGCAGCATAAAATTCATAGTCTCATGCCAAAACAACGTAACTGCTGTTATATTTTTGTACAGTTACGTTGTTTTACCTTGGAAGGACCGAGAGGTCAAATCAGATTTTCAGTAACTTGGATTTGGTACCCCCACATCATGTTCTACCACCATGTCAAAGGGCAAACTTGTATCCGCTAACTGTAACATTGTTTGACAACAAACACTCCCTGAAATCATTTTAAAACAGCTTAAAAATGCTCAGATAGTTGGCCCCCGCCCCCTTCCCCATGCTTGAGTCACTTTTTTATGCGAAAATTTTTTTTGATTTTTAAATTTAAAATCGTTTCTTACTTTAATTATGATCGCTTGTAAGCTTACATTTTTATTGAATAAGAAATCACTATAAATATTATTATAGTATATGAAATTAAAAAGTAATACTTTATATTTTTAAAACGTTATCGCCAGAAACACTACAGGACAGAGTAGAGAGAAGCAGTGGTGGCGCCAGGACCTGCCCGACGGAGGGGCTAAAGGCCCCGACGGGGAGGGGGGGCTAGTTGAGAGAATCGGGTCTTACTTGGCTGGGGGCCAGGAGGCCGCCTAGGGCCCCGGTGGGGGTCCAGGGGTGAAGTCCCTTGGAAGCCACGGATATTTGATGAATCATGGCATCGAGTTACTATGACTTCATGTAGGCTATGAAATCAGCTTCCAAAACCAAAACATTTAGAATAAAGCAAGAAACAAAGAGTGTGCAATGTAACCATCTAATTTATTTTCAAATCCTCATTCTTGAAATTGAAATTCTATAAACTCTATATTTTGCATGAAATCTGTCAACCACGCTGTCATGGTCGAGGTTGGTTGGGGGGGCTATAGCCCCCAGCCCCACTCTGGCGCCACCCCTGGAGTGAAGGTAATGTATTCGTGAATGATGTCACTTGTGCATTTTCATTGATTTTCACCAGCGTTTCCTACCCCTTGAGGAACCCAATATTTTGTATACAAAACACTTCAAATACAGCTTAACTAATATATTTTCGAATGGAAAAATTTTGAAAAACTATTTCATGTCCATTTTATGCCATCACAAAACCCTTGATATAATGTTTATGCTTTAGTATAATAAAGAATTGTGAGAAAAACGTAATTCTACAAGAAGTATTACTGTATATGCACTACTTTTGATGCTATGGCACTCATACAAAATACATCCATAAGAAAGAAACATAAAAAAAATATTATACATACTGTACCTGTATAGAAATAGAAAATTAACTTAAATAACAAAAAACTACGTACTAATAAAGGGAGGTACTGTAAAATTATTAAGAATATTATCTTCAATTAATTTTTCTTCAATGCCACTCCGTGGTAATACTACCTGTAGTTACAGTATATGTTTATTATCAGTCATGCTACAAGTTACATAAACGAATTGTCTATCATCATGCTTTACACCTGAAATTGATTTAAATCTTATATGATTTAAATTTATTTGAATCAATACATCAGTAGCCTATATGTAAGTTACAGTAATAGCAAAATAAAATAATGTAGCTCGTCCTGGTGATGCTGGAATACTCTAGCATTGTTGATATGGGGATCAAACATCCTAGCTACTGTATGACAAAAATAACATAAAGACGACTCAATCAATCTATATTTTATGTTTTTATTCTTTCATCATATAATAATTATTCTTTTCATTTTTTTTTTGAAAGAATTATTGTCTTGATTGTTTAACCAGTGTTTTAAGACTAAAGTTGAATGCCGTATCATCATCGTACTTGCATCGTATAATCATTGGCAAATCAACTGCAATTACAATACTGTAAACAGTATTCCACGATCCATGCTACCATTAACCACAGACACTACAACAGATTACTCCATCACGCTTCAACAGTGGAGTTCTTTGTGATTGGTTGACACAATACTCAACCTACCAATCACAGCAACGTATTAATGCAATCACCAAACAACTGTGTGTACTCAGTAGCTTGCTTTGCTTGCATGAATGGGTCTCCCAGCTGGCATGATGCAAGACAGTACTGTGGAGTACAGTACTATTGAAGTTTTCACTGCCAGAATTGGGAGGAAAAATCGTTTTCTACTTGGATTAAAAACTAGTCGCGCAAGCAAATTACCTTGTCGCACTGCACGCGACTAATCAAAATTCCCTGTCGCATTTACGAAAATCAGGTCGCAAATACGACCAAATTACCCTTAATTTCCAGCCCAGCGACCTATTTCTTTATCTTTGACAAATTAAAGCTATAAAATTGATACTCGCTACTTGATACTTATATTTTATGGTTGAATGAAGGTTTTCTTAAAGGAAAAACCAACTAAAGACCCTGGAACAGGCAGGTTGCTCAAAAACTCAATTAATGCATCCAGTATGGATCGAAGACTCAGAGAGGAAGAGGAACTCTTACAGAAGCGTCTGTCTGAGGAGTTGCGCAAGCATGGTTACCATAACATTAAGCCAGATACACATCATGCTGATTTAACGACTCCTTCAGAAAATATTGTATCGGGTAAGTCAGTTTGTAAGTTGATGTCATTTGAAATACTAAAATTATGGTCACATTTTATTCATTGTAACTGTGTGTAAAATATTTCCAAATGATCGATGTAGTAGCAGAACACATACATTTTCTAAAAAACACAACAGCTTTAAACTTTATTATAGGCTAGTGCCTATGTTTAATGCATTGGCCTTCATGGCCCATAACCAGACATGTTTCAGTAGGTCTACTACCATCCTCAGTGAGAAATTTTCACAACTGCAATGTAAATACAGTACACATATAAAGGAATAACAATTAACAATAAGCATGACAAAGAGTTCAACCGTAACAATAATATAACATTCATGAATAAAGAAATGACATTCTCAGAGTCTGAGAGTGCAATTACCGGCCATCTGTTGCCTTGGCGTAGACTTTTTCTTTTGGTTCAACTGCCCGACGAGTTCTGGCGGGTGGGAGGATCTGACCTGTCCAAGGTGGGGCCTAAGTGCTGCCATCTCGGCCCCATAGACTATAATTTTGTATCTGTTTTTGCAATACAATATTTATGCCTATTGTACATTTCTCAGATATTGTATGACACACTCATTTTGTGCTCAACAAGATCTTCCAATAGCATCCGACTGGGCCATCATTAATTGCATACTGCAATGCAACATACAGTTAGTTCCAAGTGACGTCATATGCAAAATTTATCTTGAGTTACTCACTGTGATTACAATATCAAACACAAGTTCAAAATTTACTATTTAACTATAAACATAATTTTACATTATTTGGACCATAGCAGCATGGCCCTTGTTGTCTGGATATATTAAGTTCGATTTAAAGTCTTCAGTAGTACAGGAGCTTAAGTATTGTGCTTTTTGTTTATGTTATAAAAGAATAACACCCTTCGGGACAAAAAATTTAACGCAAACTTTTTGGCATTTAAAGGTAATGATGGTATTGTTTGCAAAATAGCAATAGCAAATAGGTACCGTTCATCACACTTTGAAAAGTATTTGAGCATCTCAGTGTTTCAAATAGAATCATCGTCAGAATAAAAAAGCATGTACTGTTAGTAGAACCTGTGGTTTTGTTGTTAGAATATTTTAATATATAATCATTTGATCAAATGCAAACGCTTTTGTATGCATTTTTACCTGTTATGACCAATTTCATGTTTCTAATTCCAGCTGATGCAGAAGTAGCTGTATTAAAAAACAGACTGGAGCAAACTGAGAGAACAATGGCCAAGATGCTGGAGATGATGACCAGTATGGGAATATCAGTGTCTCAAATGACAAATCACCTAGGTAAATTTGAAATGACAACAGCTATTATAGTCCTCCAATTTATTTTGAACTAGCTGACCTAATCAGAGACAGAAATTATGTGACATTATTCAACTTTAGGCACACAGGCTGAGGTATGCCAGCGATTTTAATCCCTCAGCCAAACATTACACGCAAGGTGCCTTTAGACTAAAGCCTGGGACTTACTGTAAACCTTGGCTGATGAATCAATCTTTTTTCTCTGAGAACGATGTTGCAAGGAAGTATTGTTAGGCCTATATTTGTAGTCTCTTACATCACAACAAAAATATAATAAGGATTTCAAAAATAAAACAGTAATTAATATTATAATTACGCTTATTAAAAGCCTACGGACACAATGAAAAATAGATGTACTCCTTAAACATCTGGGATTTAAAACCTGCCGGTCTGAAAGACTAAATAGATCAATCAATTTTTGATTATTCGAAGTGAGTAACAATCCATAATTCAGATTAATTGAGAAAAAAATGATGAACTTTTCACCGGACCGGTAGCCGTGGCTTTGCGAGAAGCATGTGTTTATGTTTAATTCCTCATTCACTCAGGCGTGTCTTAGTCAGTTGTTTTAAAACGTTAAACCATTTAGACACTACAGACGTAATGGTAGGCCTACTTAGAAATAGATAAACGTCTGAACTTGAGTTTACTCCCAGACATGTATTCGTGTGGTGTGACAACACTAGAACTGGATCAACACTCTCAAAAACATCATTTTGAATTTTTTAAGATACAGGTAATTAGAGTTCTGCTTGATAACATCTTTACATGCTAAAGTATTCTGTTAAAAATTCATCAATAATTGTACTGGAATTCAAAACAGATTGTAATACAGAAGGACAAAAATACTCTTTGGATTATCTGCATTTGGTATACAATTTTAAACGTACAAGATACATAATACAAGATACAATTTGATTCCAATTAGAATAGATACATGGAAATTCTGTTTCCACTGGCAATAAACTTAGACTACACTTAAAATAAACATAACTTTATTTTAAACATCAGAACGCCAACAAAGTGTTTAACAATCGTATTAGCCCTCAAACCTTAATACATACTGTACACAGGGATGTCACCAGCAATCATTCCGCGTTTTCCCGGGGGTGGGGGTGCCACACCCCCACCCGTTTTCCCAGGGGTGGGGGTCACTGTATTCATGAAAGCTCTTAAAGCGTGCTTTGTAAATCATAAAACATGACACTGCATTTCTGACTTTGGTTAACTAAGAAAGTGTCAGAACAAGATATCATGCAACCTATCTTCTTTTAGTGGTCGTAAATAATTGTTATAGGGCAACATCAATGTCAAATACAGTTAGCATTCTACAATACTGTAATTTCAAATTCATGAATCCAGGCCAAAATAAAGGATTGCGACATTCATGTGTACTGAAGTAGAAAGCTAAATAATCATGAGGGCGCTACACCATGGTGACTACCTTTTTTGGCAATACTGTGCAAAGTTATCGTTAAAAACTTATTTATGCTTATTTCACCTCTGCTGTTTAACTTACAAAGCACTTGATAAACTTGCTCCACAAACTCTTTGTCAGTGCCTAAAAAAAATTGTTGCCAATGGCTGTATGACCACAAGAAAAATCACTAAAGGTAATCTTCTGATTCCTAAGATTTATTCCTTCTGATTTATGTTAGTTTAATTAATTATCTTCTTGTTAATTCTTGATTAATTTGTTATTTCAATTACTGTTCTGTCTAATGTGTCATTTTTTCCCCCTTTTTTTTTTTTTTTTTTTTTTTTTTTTTTTTTTTTTTTTTTAAATCATTTTTTTTTTATAAAATTTATTTACTGTAGCCCTTTATATGCTTTTTTCTGATTTTTATTATTATTATTATTATTATTATTATTATTATTATAGTTATTATTATTATTAATTTATTTACCCAGTCAGCAGCAGGCTGACTGGGTTCTGTTTCTGATCAAGGATTTATATCACTACTTGTTACTGGATTATTTTCATATTTATTCACGATTTATCCATAAACCATTATGCTGTTACGGTGCTTAACACCTTTTAACACATCTTCATTGTTCCAGCTAGACCTTAGCTTCTATTGCCAACTAGAGAAATTTACTTCCTTAGGAACCCAGTCAGCAGCATGCAGACTGGGCTCTGTTTCCAAGCAGGTTCTTCTTTCTTTCTTTCTGGCAGTATTTTAAAAGGCTACTAGTGGCAAACTACTGGACCGATTTAATTAAAACTTGGTCAGTAGGACCAGTGCCACCTTCCATTTATGTGTTGTTAACAACTTGGGGTCAAAGGTCACTTAAGGGGCATTAGGGTCAAAAAATCGTATAAAAGACTACTTGTCTCACAAATAACGTAGTACAGTCTTGTCCTTTGCACATATACATTGGCATAAGGCAGAGTCTATAGGGTGTTCAGGGATAAGGGGTCAAAGGACATTAAGGGGTAATTTTCATCTTTTTTCTGGCAACATTTCAAAACGCTACTAGTGCCAAACGGTTGTGCAAATTTCAACCAAACCTGGTCAGTATAATCGGTAACACCTCTTCATACATAAGGTGTTCACTGCTTGGGGTCAAAGGTCACATAGGGGTCATTAGGGTAAAAAACTTTTTTAAAAATAATGACAGACTTCTGTCACAAATAACATACACAGTCTTGTCCTGGGCACATGTGTATTAGCATAAGGTAGGGTCTCTATGGTGTTCAGCGATTTAGGGTTAAAGGTCATTAAAGGGTTATTCTTTTGTTCTATCTTGTAACATTTTAAAAATGCTACTAATGGCAAACGATTGGACCAAACTCAATCAAATTTGGTTATTAAGAAACAGCAAAACCTCAAAACCACCTACACCCCAGTCTGGGATTAGGAGTCATCGGGGTTAAATTTTCAAAATAGCCCAATTGAGCTCAAATTTACCAGGAATGATCCTTAGGGCCTTCCAAACACAAAAAAGTACTCGTCACTTCATAGGTCAAAGTTCATAGGTTAAGGGTTCAAAATGTTACTAATGGCAAACGATTCTACAGAATTCAATCAAATTTGATCATTAAGAACCAGTGACATCTCTTACACCCCAGTCTGGGACCAGGGGTTACATAGGGGTCATCGGGGTTAAATTTTAAAAATAGCCCAATTGAGCTCGAATTTACCAGGAATGATCCTTAGGACCTTCAAAACATAGGACTTCTACCAAACATGGGGTGTTCACAGCTTAAGGTCAAAGGTCACAGTGGTGGTCACCTTACGGTCAAATGTTCTATTGAACATAGTATCTCTAGTTCTTTCTTTCTGACATTTTAAAAGGGTACTAGTAGTAAACTGCTGGACCGATTTTATTAAAACTTGGTCACGTAGGACCGGTGCCACCTCCCATTTATGTTTTCACAACTTGGGGTCAAAAGTCACAAGGGGCATTGGGTCAAAAACCCCAAAATCGTATAAAAGACTATTTGTCTCACAAATAACGTAGCACAGTCTTGTCCTTTGCACATATACATTGGCATAAGGCAGAGTCTATAGGGTGTTCAGGGATAAAGGGTCAAAGATCATTAAGGGGTAATTTTTTTTCTGGAAACATTTCAAAACGCTACTAGTGCCAAACGGTTGTGCCGATTACAAACAACCCTGATCAGTATAACTGGTGACACCTCTTTTACATGGGGTGTTCACTGCTTGGGGTCAAAGGTCACATAGGGGTCATTAGGGTAAAACTATTTTTTTTAAATGAATAAAAGACTTCTGTCTCAAATAACAGAGCACAGTATTTTCCTGGGCACATATGTTTTAGTATAAGGTAGGGTCTCTATGGTGTTCAGCGATTTAGGGTCAAAGGTTATTAAAAGTTTATGCTTTTGTTCTATCTGGTAACATTTCAAAATGCTACTAATGGCAAACGATTGTACCAAACTCGATCAAATTTGGTCATTAAGAACCAGCAAAACCTCCTACATCACAGTCTAGGATCAGGGGTCACATAGGTGTCATCGGGGTTAAATTTTCAAAATAGTCCAACTACATAGCACAATCTTGTCCTGGGCACATATGTATTGCCATAAGGTAGGGTCTCTATGTTGTTCAGCGATTTAGGGTCAAAGGTCATTAAAGGGTCATTCTTTTGTTCTATCTGGTAACATTTGAAATGCTTCTAATGGCAAACGATTGGACTAAACTCAATCAAATTTGGTCATTAAGAACCAGCAAAACCTCCTACAACCCAGTCTGGGATCAGGGGTCACATAAGGGTCATTGGGCTCAAATTTACCAGGAATGATCCTTAGGGCCTTCAAAACACGAAAAAATAGGTCGGAGGTTCAAAATGTTACTAATGGGAAATGATTGAACTGAATTCAATCAAATTTGATCAGTAATTACCAATAGAGAGCTTTCGATTTGTGCGACGACGCGACGCTAGAACGGAATTACACATGTGTGACCGTCCTACCTGGCATCCTACGTTCTCTGCATACGTAAATTTGGCCAAATTGCGTTCCAGAATCTACTCAACGAGGTGACCTTAACATTCTCGCATGCGCAGATGACTTTTAGTGACGTCATTATGTTATACGTTCTACTGTCGTTGTGCAATCAAAAGCTCCCTAGTGACACCTCTTATACCCCAGTCTGGGATCAGGGGTTACATAGGGGTCATCGCGGTCAAATTTTCAAAATAGCCCAATTGAGCTCGAATTGAATGATGCTTAAGACCTTCTAAACATGAACAAAATACTCTTCGCATATAGGTCAAAAGTCACAAGGGTCATTATGGTGGAAATTATCAAATATTGCTAGTGACTAAAGATTGGACCAATTGCATTAGACATACTCCTACCAAACATGGGGTGTCCACAGCTTGAGGTCAGGGTCAAATGCTGAAAAATGACTGGCTTCATCTTCTATTGAACATAGTATCTCTAGTTTTTTTTATTTTTATTTATTTATTTTTTTTCCCAGCCTTAATTTTATTACTTTGTTTATGTTAAAGATCTAGTTTAATTTTTATACAGTACCGGCCAGTTTTATTGCAAAAATCCCAACGCGTTTTACCCGTTGTCGTTGCGTTGCGTTTGCGTTGAGTTGCGTTGCGTTGAAATGAACGTTGAGAGTACATTGTTTATTTAACGATGT